TGGCGGGGCCCTCCCTGACTTGTTGTCCAGGTCTGCTGTTTCAACAGGAAATCTGAACAGAGGGAGAGAGATTGGGGCAGTTGGAGGCCACTCAGAAGAGTACAGCAGCCCAGGGGGACATTTTATCACCCAATCTGATGATGGGGCCCGGCTGGCGCTGAGCTACCTTGAGGAGGTACTGACCATGGCTTCCTGCAATGGGACTGCTGCCTGCAGGGGCTGGTGTTTCTGCCTTGCTGGGCAAGTCTGACTGCAGGGATTCACAGGAGCCTGTTGGCATTGGGGGATTATTGCAAGGACATGTGTGACCTGACTCCCTAATTGCCAGGAAGGGAGTGGCTCTGGGAAGTCCAGCCTCTGTGGTTTCCCTCCCTTCAGCTCCTCCTCCACCCTGAAATCTACCCCCACCCATCAGGTCTTTACCCAGATGGCACCCACAGCTTGCTCTTCCAGACTTCTCCTTACCCCTTTGTTTACTGCCTCGCCTCCCCCCACCCCCAGACAGCATATCACTGTGTTGTTCAGGCTGGCTTTGAACGTGTGTGGATCCTCCTGCCTCAGCCTCCTGAGTGCTGGGATTATAGGTGAGTGTCACCATACTTGGCTACCACATCACCTTCTTGGTATTCCCAGCTTTATTTCTCAGAAAGAAGACCCCAGTTGAGTAGCCATGCCACCATGCCATGGCTCATGTTGGACTGTGTAACACATTGTGGTTACCTGTAGTAGACTGTCTAACCACAGACCAGCTGGCCTCCTCTTTTTGTGTCAGCTGAGAGGGGCCTGGGAGGGCTGCATCCGTCTGATGCATATTTGTGTAACAACTACAGGCCAACTGCTGGCAGGGCTCTGGGGATGAAGCAATGAATAAACCCAAGTCCCCTATTTTTATGGAACATATGTTCTTATCTATCCACCAGGGTAAATATGCAGGAGAACATTAGCAGAGGGTTAATTAAAGAATAGTAGATGACCAGAGAGCTGTTATTTTGGATTGCCTCAAAGCCTTCCTGACGAAGGTGGCATTTGAATAGAGGTATAAGTGGGGTGAGGGAGCCAGGCTTTGCAGATAGCAGAGCCACCCCTGCCTAGGAAGAGCTCTCCAGGCAGCTATAATAATAGCAAGTGTAAAGGCCCTGAGGCAGAAGTGTGCCTGAAATAATACCAGGCTGCCTCTGGTGCTCTGAGCAGGGCAGAGCAGGGATTCTGAGGTGTGGCCTGTGAAGCAGTTTCAGGGTCCTTTGGAGAGGATCAGAGTGTGGGAGCAGTCTCAAGTCCATTACTCACTTGTGAATGGCCCTGGCAGTGGGTAGAGAGAGGCATGGTGAGTCTAGGGAGCCTGCGTCCCATTAGGGTCAGACACCTTCCCTTCTTGGCTATTTACATGGCCCAGACTACAGTCTGAGAACATGGACAAGGATCAGATTCCATAAGCCCTTTTGTTTTATTCAGTTCTTTGTACAGTTTAGTCTTTTTTTACCCACTGCCTCATTTATACATCAGCTTTTTTTCTTGGTGGAAAAAGATGGAATCTGGCATCCCATGCTTGTTAGGTTAGTGCTGTACCACTGAACTACACCCCTCCAGCACTCTACACCACTCTTTGTTTGTTTGAGACAGGATCTTGCTATGTAGTTCAGGCTGGCCTTGAACTCACTATGTAGCCCAGGCTGGCCTTAGACTGCAGTGATCCTCCTGCCTCAGCCTCCTGAATGCTGGGATTACAGACATGTGCCACAACGCCGAGATCATCACTCTTTGTTTCTTTTTACACCATCATTTCCAATCAGGTCTGTGCCTTGTGGTCATTTCCTATTTGGCTTTTGGTTTTGTGTGCAGTGCCAGGAATAGAACCTAGGACCTTTTGCATGTTAGGCAAGTGCTCTATCACTGAGCTACACTCCCAGACTCTCAGATGGAGATGCTCACCGTACAGTGGGCAGTGAGCAGTCCGATGGGAGAAGCCACACTGTGGAGAGAGGAAAAGACAGTCTAGGTGGTGAGGAAGGAAGGTGGTTTCAAGCTGGGACAAGTGGCTGGCATACAGGGTGTCTTCCCTGGTGGTGTTCTGTAGAGGAAGGCCCTGAGGAAAGGTCAGAAAGGTAGAGGACAAGTGCAGGAGCAGTTTGCAGCCACGGTCGGTTGCTGTCCGTGACGAGAGTGGTGGCAGATCACTGGTAGGGCAGATTGGCAGGCGCTTGATTATTGCTGAACCTTAAGTACCAGGGAGGAGGAGGTTGGTTGATTCAACAGCCACAGAATACATTTTTTGAATTTGCCAATGCATACTGATAGAAGAAAACATTGGAAAACCACAGATTGGCAAAAGAAGAAAATCACTATAATCCCACAACCCAGAGAGCAAAGTGTGGGAAAGCTCACCACATGCAGGCATTTGACATGTATAGTGCGCCCTTATATATTTCTTTCTACATTCATGGAAACATGCCCTGTCTTGTTGAATAAGCACTGCATCCCAAACACCTTTCTGACTTGGCAATTCTAAGCCTTGGTTTTGTTTAATTATCTACTTATTTAGAGACAATTCTTTGCTATGTGGCCCAGGCTGGTCTCAGACTCCTGGGCTCATAGGACCCTTTGTCTCTGCTTCCCAAGTAGCTGGGACTACAGGTATGAGCCACTGTGCCTGGCTTAAGCCTTAGTTCTTTGTTTGCATTTATTTATTTATTTATTTATTTATTTATTTATTTATTTATTTATGTATGTATGTATTTATTTATTGGTACTGGGGATCAAACTCAGGCTCTTGAGCTTGTGAGGCAGGCAGGAGAACCACTGAGCTAAATCCCTGGCCCAAGCCTTAGTTCTGTACATGTGTATGGTATTGGGGATTGAACCCAGGGCCTTTGCACTGAGCTACACCTCCAGCCCTTTTCTATTTCTTTGTTTTGTTTTTTGAAACAGGGTCTTTCTGGGCAGTTCAGGCTGTCCTTGAACTTTCTGTGTAGCCCAGGCTGGCCTTGAACTTACAGCAATCCTCCTGCCTTAGCCTCCTGGTGGTTGGATTACAGATGTGTGCCACCCATGCCTGGCTCTATATTTAGAGACAGGGTCTTGCTATGTTGCTAAGTTACCCAGGCCGGGCTTGAACATTGAGTCCTCCTGCCTCAGCTTCCCACAGTGCTGGGATTATAGGGATGTACCATGCCCAGCTAAGCCTTATTTTTAATGGCTGCAAAATTCTCCATAATGTGACTTGTCAGTGCCACAGCCAACATCTGGTAGCCTTACCCTGTGCACATTATGTGGGTCCTTGAGCAAGGGCAAGGAGGAGAGGCCAGGACCTTCAGACAGAGGCAGGAGGAGACCACTGTGGGACAGCAGTGACACCCACTGGCACTACCCCACACAACAGTCAGGCAGGACCCAAAGCCATTCAAGAACTGGAGAGAAGAAAGGCTAGCGTGTGTGTGTGTGTGTGTGTGTGTGTGTGTGTGTGTGTGTGTGTGTGTGTGTGTGTGTGTGTGTTGGGGCTGTGAACATGGCCTGTGTCTCCAGTGACTCTGGCTGTGGGTGAACCAGAGGAGAAAGATAAGAGAGGCACTAGTTTTCTCTGGGATTGGGTGGTTTGTGACACTAAAAAACTCGTGAGGACGGGATATGAAGAGGAGCATGCCCCTTGCTTCTAATTTGCATCAGAGAATTTCACAGATCTGTAGATTTTTTTCAAATTTGGTGCTAGAAAGGATCTGATAGCTCTGCTGAGTAAACTAAAGCTCAGAGAACTATGGCTGCTTGCCCGATATCACACAGCATTAGAAACAGAGGGCCAGTGGATCTGTAGTGTGCTGGTAACATTTGCCTCTCTGTCCCCTGGACCCCATCTCCAGCCACTCCCTGCACCTCCCCCAGTGGAGCGATGCCAGCGAGTGTCCTTGTTTATTCCAGTGACGCAGGGAGAGCGCCTTGGAAGGAGGGTACACTCCAAGGGTCAGCAGCCAAACCCTTCACCTCTGAGTGGAGTGATTAAGCACTCACCCCACTGGGCAGACCCAGGTTCAAATATGGGGTTTACCTTATGTCCTATACTTGAATTCCTTCATCTGTAAAATGGGGCTTTTTAAGTAATACCTGTCTTGTAGGGTTGTAAAGATCAAAGGAACATTGAGTATAAAGTTCTTGGCAGTTTTCTATGGCCTGACCCAGAATAGGAGCTCAAAGAATGTTGCCATCAATTTCAGTAGTAGCAGTGGCAGATCCATCCCAACAGCTCTTTGAAGTCTCCCTCCCTGCATCCGGAGCTGAGTCTTGAGTGGTGAGGATGACATAGGCCAGCGCTGGCCAGGGACAGAAACCCCAGGAGCAGCAGAGGCAGGGCACCTAGGGCAGAGGAGGCCCCTGGTTGGGAGGATTCTCCTCACTCTGTCCTGAACTTCTGGCCCTTTCTGCTGAGGGTAAGGAGAACCCCAAAGGCCGTTTGAAGGCATCTGGAAAATATTCTTTTTTTTTTTTTTTTTTTTTTGTACTGGGGATCGAACTTGGATCCTTGAGCTTGTGAGGCAGACGGGGGAACCACTGAGCTAAATCCCCAGCTGGAAAATATTCATGAGGGGTCCTCAGGACCTTAGAGGAGGGAGTAAAGACTGGTACTTCATCCACCACTGCTGGTCCATAGCCCTAATTCTCAACTGCCTCTTCCTCCTTTCAGAAACAGGTCCTCCTGCTGGGCATGGTGGTGCATGCCTATAATCTCAGCACTTCGGAGGCTGAGGCAGGAGGATTGCTGTGAGTTTGAGGGCAACTGGGCTATATAGTGACCCTGTCTCAAAAAAATCTCAAAAAAGCTGGGCATGGTGGTGCATGCCTGTAATCCCAGCACTTGGAGGCTGAGGCAGGAGGATCGCTGTGAGTTCAAGTCCAGCCTGAGCTACATAGTGAGTTCCAGGTCAGTCTCAACTACATAGTGAGACCCTGTCTCAAAAAACCAAAAAAACAAAACAAAACAAAATGAGGGCATAGACCCTTCCTGCCCCATCCTTTGTTTTTGCTGAGGTGGGGTCTGACCCCTGCCCTAGAAATGGAGGCAGAGTCTCCCTGGCTGCTGGCCCTGTTTGCCTCACTAGAAGCAGGCCACCAGGACCTGCCCAGGGTGTTTTTAACTAACAAGCTAACCACATTACACTCTCGACAGCATTAACCAAAAAAAGCAAAAGAGAAAAAGAAGGATAGAAAATAGTCCTTGAACGAATGCCGCTGCAGTGTCTGCCAGGACCTAAGATCTGGTACTATCTATTTTTTAATAATTGAGAGTAATAAATATGTATTTCTTTCTCCTCACCATCCCCCACCTTCCAAAGCTTGTCAGCTCCCTGTGTCTCTCCTCTGATCAGACCAAGTCTTCCCCAAGTTAAAAAAAAAATCCTTTAAGCAAAAAGGATTAAAGCCTTGAAAGTAGGTCTGCCTGAGCTCTCCCCTCCTCCTCTCTTCTCCCCTCCCCCAGGGTTGGAGTGCAGAGGCCCCTAGGGAAGCCCAGGACTGGGGAAGTGGGGGCAGCCATTGTAACAAATCCCTGTCCTGTCTTCAGCACACCCGTGCAGTCCTGGGAGTGGTTTGATTGCGTGGGGGTGGGGGTAGCTGGGCCCAGGTCTCCACTGGCCACGGAGGAGGGGTTTTGAATCAGAGTCCCCCACCCCTCATTAGTACAGGACAAGGGAATGAGGGCTTTGGTCTTAGTTCCCCCGCTTCACTTTGCAACCTGCTTTTGCACTTTCAGGGAGGGTGTGACCTTGGGACAAGCATTTGAGTCTCAGGCTCTTGTCTGTGAAATGGGAAATAAATACTATCTACTGCACAGAGGATCGAATAAGGTAAAGATAGTCCATTATCTGGCACTTGGTAAGTACAGAATAAATTAAATAAAAAATATTTTTGTCTTTATGGAATTCTCCAGCACAGAGGGCAGTTTGTCTCTCCCATCCCATGACACTTCATATCTCCCAAGGAAGGGCCAGCCAGGCACAACCATTTTTCTTTTGGTGTTACTTGAGATCGGAGCCCAGGACCTTTGTGCACTGACCTGATCTATATCTTCAACCCTTATTTGTTTTTTATTTTGAGACAGCATCTCATCTTACCTAGATTGGGCTCCAATTTGCAATTCTTCTGGAATTATAGGCAATCGCCACCACACCCAGCTCACAGCCATTTTTTGTGAATCATTCCTGACATCCCTTGAAGAGGGGGTTGAACTGGAGGCTTAGTGATTTGGTTAGGACCTGGCCCAATGCTGTGGGAACCCATAGGTGAGAGAACTGGAATCCAAAGCAGGATTTGGGTCCCTCTGCCCTTTGGTCCAACACCTTTTCTTCTGTCCCACAATATTACTGGTGAGGCACCCAGTATTCCTGGCTCTGTGCTCTAGGAACTACCCAGGAGCCACAGTGGGAAAGGCTTGGCCTGGCTGGGGAGATAGCAACCGGGCAGCGGTGGCTGCTGCTTGGCAAACCTGCTTTCCTCTGCCCGCAGCTGCCAGGCTTGCTGTTCTGCTGAGACAGCAGCCACGGCCCAGGCAGCTCCCTCCCTCTGTGCTGGGCACAGACACACAGGGCTGGCTGCAGGTGGCCGGTTCTGTGTCCCTGCACCCACCCAGGTCTGGAGACCCTGGTCAGCTCCAGTGCTCCGGGGTTGGCCACGTGGATTCCCAGCCCTGATCCCACCCCCTAGGCCTGCCTGGGCTGCTTGGGCCCTAGGCAGGAGAGGAGAGGCAGGGCAGGGAGGCCGGAGGGCAGGAAAAGCGGGAGGGAGGTGGCTATTTATAGATGGCTTTGCTTTTGTTCCTTTTCCAGCAATGCTTCTCTTTAAATAGGAGCAGGGCTGGAGGCTGCAGCTCTTCCCTAGCCGCCTGCAGTCAGTGCTCACAAGTGTGTCTGAGTGTGCGTGCGTGTGTGTAGACACACATTTATAGGGAAGGGGAGGGGTATACACTTCAGTGCGTGTGTGTGCCTGTGTGAGCATGTGTGCAGGAAGTGGGTGAAGGGTAAAGAGTTCTGTGTGCTTGTGTGTACGCCAACACTAACATGTTCAGGGGAGGAGGTGGGCCAACTGTTCCTTGTGTGCCCACACGTGTGTGCACAAGTGTAGAGAGAGGCACTTCTGGCTGTATTTACATTGGAAGGCACGCAGGGGTGTGAGATAACATGTTCATGGGTGGGAGAATATGTATATCCAGGTATTTTTTAATTAGTTCATGTCTGCAGTACCACACGTGTATGTTTTGAGCTGGGTCTAGGATGGCAAGTGTGTGTGTGTGTGTGTTTGTGTGTGGTGCTCCGTGAGCAGCTCCCAAGGGCAGAAGTTCGTCCACGGGATGGGGATGGGAGTGTGGAGGACACAGTCACCGCTGCGCGCGAGTGTGGCTCAGCATGCCCTGTACAGGGAGAGGAAAGGGATGGCCACCCGTGCTTTGCGCCTGTTCTGCTCAGATATTAACTGTCTGCCCAAGAGTTGCCCATGCTAGAGGGAGTACAAGGGCCTCAGAGTCCTACCTGGATGCCCACCCAAAGGGCATTTTTAGAGCCCCCAGAGCCCCTGTGGTCACTGTGGAGACAGAGCACTCCCTTTTCTCTAGCCCAGCCAAGAAGGTTCGGATTTGAGGCCAGCCTGAGTTCCCAACCTGGCCCCACGTCTATCGGTCTCTGCCTCAAGTTTCACATCTGTAAAATGGGGAAAGTGAATTCCTCTCCAGGCTGATGTTGCGATCAAAAGAGATCAGACTTGTGCTTCGGTTTAGACTTAATAGACCCGGAGCTCCGGACCTCCAGGGTCTGGGTAGGGCAAGGAGAGGAGCACCGGAGGGGTGGACGGCCAGGGCTGGGCCCTGCGGTGTTCTCAACCCTCCATCGCTGGGGCACCAGAAAGCTATTCCAGCGCAGGCCGCCACTCCCAGCACCCAGCAGCGCCGCAACCCAGATCTGTCAGCGGCTCGGGAGGATCAGTGCCCCCCGGGAGCGGCCGGTTGCTTGAGGGACGCTCTCGGCCTCAGCCGCCTGTGGGAGGCTCCGGGGCTCCAGGCCTGGGCACCGCCCTCGCCCCGCTCTCCCCAAGCTCCGGATCGATGCGACAGCCCTTCCCGCCCCTCCCCCAAAGGCCAAACAAAACATAGTAAATATTTAATCCTGGCCAGGGAGCCAAGGAGGCCTCCCCGCCCCCTCCGCAGCCGTCTGGCTCCTCTGCCAGCCCCGGCTGCTCTCCCCTGTAATGAGGCCGGGAGCTGCAGGGATCGATCGAGCCCAGGGGCTGCCTGTGCCCTGCGGGGGTGGTATCGCTGCCCACGGCAGGCCCCATGGCCCCAGAAGCCCACCTGAGAGCACTTGTGCCCTCGCTTTTCCAACCAGGCCTGGGAGAAGCGCCCTCCTCACTGGCCCGCCCCTCCCACCTCCCTTCTAAAAGAGCAGGAGCCCATGGTGTGTGTGTGTGTGTGTGTGTGTGTGTGTGTGTGTGTGTGTGTGTACGCGCGCGCAGGGTGAGGTAGGGTGGGTGGGGGCAGGAGGCAAGTAGTGGGGACATCTCGGCCCTGATTTATGCCTGAGCTACTGGCCAGACCCGACCTCCAAGGCCTAAGTGCCCGAAGCCTGTAAGGGCCTTGGATGGCTCTGGGTGGGGCTGGGCCAGCTTGGGAGGCCCCTACAGTAAGGCTGGCAAGTATTCCTTAGGGAAGTGTCCCTAGAGGAGGTGACAGTTTCTGCGCATTCACACAGCAGAAAACCACTGAGCACCCACTATGTGCCAGGCATGGGCAGCTGGCTGGCCTGCAGACAGCTTGCACTCCAACGGAGACAAACAGCTAATAGGTAAATGCAAAAACTAATGGTTGAATTTAGGGTAGAGAATAAAACTGTAATAGGTCGGGTGTGGTGGCCCATGCCTGTAATCCCAGCACTCAGGAGGCTGAGGCAGGAGGATTGCTGTGAGTCTGAGACCAGCCTGGGCTTCATAGTTCCAGGTCAGTCTCAACTACATAGTGAGACCCTGTCTCAAAAAAACTGTAATATATTGTGCTTGGCTCGGGAGAGGACAACATTAGCTGAGGTGGTCAGGGGGCTTGCCTGTGACAGTGGATTGGGATAAAATCACTACTGGCAAATTTAACAGCACATGTAAAGGCCCAGAAGCAGGAAAACAATTGTATGCTGTAGGACTGGGAAGAAGGGCCAGAGAGGTGGAGTGTAGGTGAGTGGTGGACAAGGAGGCAGTGGTAGGTCCCTGAACGTCTCCTAGGCGTTTGAATTTTATTCTAAGTGCTGTGTGATGGCATGAGAGGTTTTAAGCAAAGGGATGACATGATCTGATTTACATCTTTAAAAGCTTCTGCATCTGCAATGTGGAGAAAAGTAGGGAGTTAAGAGTGGAGGCAGGGAGGCCAGGTTGGTGGGGAGATGTTGCAGTGCTATACCCTAGAGAGGCTGGTGTCCTGCCTGCCTTAGGCAATGACTGTGAAGTGACCGTTTAGGCTCTGACAGCTGGCAGGGCCCCCACAGCAGCTGGGAACCCTGATCCTCCTGCACAAAGTCCCTGGGGGTCTGAGAAGAGACCAAGACCTGGGATTGCTTCTGTCCTCTCTCTCTGACCCGGACTCTACAGTGTGCAGCCCAGGAAGTTTTTTTGTTTTTTAGGTTTTTTTAGGAGCATTAGAAAATGTTGACATGTTTTTTGAAACAATTTCAGATCTGATATCTCCGCCAGATTGAGTTTGTAACCAGCTTTATTGTTTAAGCCTGCTGGGATTTCATCAAAGGCGTCTGCTGTTTACCCAGAACCATTTCATTGGAGAAAACAGCAAACAGACCTGCATTTCTATCTGATTTCACTTTTTTCCCCGTTTCTCATGAATTTAAGTGCTTGTGAAAAGCAAGGCTGATAAGGCAAAGCAGTATGGCTCAAGCCCCAAGGAGGGGACTCAGAGGGGTCTCAGTTGAGGTTTATTAATAGAGCACAGAAAAGCAGAAGGTGGCTGGCTGCCCCTCCAGGGGCCAGGAGGAACTCTTGGCCAGCAGCCAGCCCTCCAGGGGAACACAGTCGGTGGTGAAGGGAGGTGGGGAGTGCTGCTGTTTCCCCATACAAAGACCAAAATTTTCCTGCCATCCCCTGGTATCTGCTGTCTTTACTGGTTTCTGTGCCATTTCAGACACTGGCAACAAAATAAAACAGGGAACATCAGCTCTCACATGGAAATAGTGGTGGCCCAGCCTCGGAGATAGGTTCAATGAGGCCAACTCCAGCTTTCCTGGGAGAAGGCTGAGTGAGGAAAGAAACAGCAAAAGGCAAATGGAAGGCAGATCCACAAGAGCCTCCTCTGCCAGCACTCAGGACTCAGCTGTTGGTCCTGCCAGGCTGCCTGAGCCAGCACAGGGCAAGCGGGGCAGGTTCCAGGGACTCTTTTGTCACAAGCTCAGTGCTCCCTGTGCCTCTCCAAGGAATCTATGCTCATGTTCTCTTCATCCAACTAATAGGATTCGGGCAGGCCTGTTGACCCAGCAAAAATGTTTTAGCCCAATGAGGGAGATGTTGTTCTGCGGCCTATCAGGAGGAGGCATTCTGTGAAATTTGGGTTAATGTGCCTTGTAGAGTTGCTTGACCAACAGCTAGTTAACTGCACAAGTTCAGTGGCATACAGGTTGTTTCTTAAAACAGTTACACAGTAGACTCACTTCTAAGGTCAATAGATTTGAGCCAATTAGCAAGAGGATAAGGTCTTTAACTAGCTATAGATCTTACAGCAAGCATCTGAGAGAGGTGATAAGACACAGAGTGCCAGGCATACCATTATATTTTACTTCCTTCCAGCAGGTGGGACTTGCAGTGACAAGAGTCAGTCCCCTTGTGTGTGACATGAGCCTACAACAAGAATGACAGCCAGAAGAGCACAGTAGTGCAACGCCTGTAGTCCCAGCTAATCGGGAGGCTGATTGAAAGTTCAAGACCAGCCTGGGAAATTTAGCAAGACCTTGTCTCAAGATAAAATTTTAAAATAAAATTTGAAGAAAGGACTGGAGAAGTAGCTAAGTGGTAGAATGTTTGCCCACCATGTCCTGGGTTCAAGATCCAGTGCTGGAGGGAGAAAAAGAAGGAGAAGGGAAAGAAAGGAATAAAAGAAAAGAAAAGATGAGCACAAGCTGGGCATGTTGGTGCGTTCCTGTAATCCCAGCACTCCAAAGGCTCAGGAAGGAGGACTGAGAGTTTGAGGCCAGTCTGGGAACTTGGTGAAGTCCTGTTTCTCAAAACCAAGGAGAGGGAGCAAAGGACACAAGGCTATTCTAGGCCCTCCTGGCTGTGAGTGTCCCCCCCACTTCAGTGAGAGCTCAACCTCTGCTTGGCTTCCAGGGATCCCTCCATCTCTGTGGGCTCAGAGCAGATCCCAGGCCTCCTTCCAGAGCAGAGGAACCACATGCTGCAGACCATGGAACTTGCCCCCAAGGAACTGGGGAATATTTGCTGCCATCATCCTTGGGGATCCTCTATTATCTCATTTAATCTTTCTAAGAATCTTTTCCAATTACCCCTCCCCAAACCAGGTAGGTTTGTGTAGTCCCTTTCTTAGGAGGGAGACTGAGGCTTGGAGGTGGGAGGGAACAGGATGTTTGTTGTCTGAGGTCACCTGGCTAGGCATTTGCTGAGCTGGGATCTGAATCCAGCCTGGCTGATTGAAGTCAGGGGTCTTTTCATTTGACCTCACAGCCCTTGGCCTTCTTCGAGGTTAGGTAGCGGGGTGGGGCTCCCATTGGCTGGCAGAGGATGGCATGGGCCTGGTGGCATATTCTGATCTAAGAATCTCTGGACAGGAGGCTGAGCATGTTCAAATCATAGGCTGTACATATCCCACTTTTGCCCTTAGAAGTGGATCTCTGGCTAGGGGAAAGGTAGATCTGATGTTACAAAGTGGTCTCAGGACCACTTGGGAGGCTGAGACATGAGGATTACTTGAGCTTGGGAGTTCAAGACCAGCTTGTGCAAGACCCTATTTCAAACAAAACAAAGTAGGCACAAGGGAGGCACTGTTCCCCAAGGCTTCCCACCTCTGATTCCAAGTCCCTGGGCTCCCTTCTCACCATCCTTGTAAGAGAAAGAAGGGAAGCCTACTTCATCTCTTGCACCCACCATGACTTTCCTCTCAGCACCTTACCTCCTCCACAGTGGCTGTGAATTCCACCCAGGTACATACTTCCCAGAGGCAGCAAAATATGCTCTTACCCCAGAGACTGGGACCTGGCCCCAGAGACCTGCAAAGGGTTTGAGTGTAAGCAGTCTAAGGATGGGGTGGGGACTGTGTTTTGCTTTGGTTCTGCCCTGCTTGCTCAAAAGAGCTGACAAGTTCTTGCAAAATTGCTTCAGATCTCTCAGCATCTTCCTCTTAATGGCCTTGGCAGTGGTGAATCCTTGACCTTTGAGGGTGGGTTTGATTTTTTGGAAAAGGCCAAAAGTAATTTGAAGCTGTGTGCTGTGAATAAAGGAGTGAGCAATTTGCTGAATGTGATTTGCTTTTGTTGTTGGGATTTTTAAAATTCAGAACAAGACAGGACCCTAGAAGAATTGAGCCAGTTCTCACAAGGAACTACCAGAAGCGTTTTAAGTAATGGCAGCATTTGGGGGGTGGGAGTATGAAGTGAGCATTCTGATAGAAGGGTAGGGGAAGGGAACTGATGTTCTGTTGAGCCAATACTATGTGCCAGGCACTTTACATACATTATCCCAAATCGCGGAGGTCATTTTTGTCTTTTTGGGGATTGAACTCAGGACCTTGTGCTTGCAAGGCAGGCAGCAGAACCACTGAGCTAAATCCCCAGCCCCTGAAGTCATTTTTGGGATAAGGCCAATCTATTAAAAAATTCATAATCTGTTATCTTGCCTACTCCTCACAATAATACTATTAGAACAACCTCTTAGCCCATTTCACAGGTAATGAAATTAAGACTCAGGGAAGTTAAATGACTTCCTAAACCCACAGAGCTTTTAACTGCCAGGGTCAAAATTTGAACCGTCTGACTGGGCTCCAAAAGCAAGGTTATTTGGTGAGGGAGGAAGTTTGAAACAGTCTTGCTCTGTAGTTCAGGCTGGCTTCCAACTCACAATGTGAAGCAGGCTGGCTTCAAACTTAAAGCAATCCTCCTGCCTCAGTCTCCTGACTTTTGGGATTACAGGCGAGTAACACCACACCTGGCTTTTTTTTCTTTTAATGTTTAAGTTTTGATATACTCATCCCACTCATCTCCACCTCCAATAAGACACAGCTGTTATGTCATGGTGACTTCATTAAGAAAAAAGAAGTCAGCATGAAATGCTGACTGTGTGCAGTGGCAGCCACTGTCAGTGGCATCGAGGGACGCGTGGGTGACAACGGCAGCGAGTGAAGTATGGTGTTTATTAGGTGCTGGCAAAGGCCTGGGAGTTCCAGATGCCAAGCAGTGATAAGTCAGAACTGCCTGTCTCAGCTCTTGTCCAGCTCCAAGAGCTGAGCAGGCTCCTAGTTCATTGCCTTTGGATCAACTGGCTTGGACAGACCAACCCCAGGAGCTTTCCGGGGCACTGACTGGCAAGACAGGGCTCCCTCTGGATCATAACAGCAACAGTAATAATACCAAGAGCCTGTCCTGACGGAGCACTCATTATGGGCCAGGGATGGGTGTATCATTCAGCCTTTTCTGACTACATGCTCTTTGTCCCCGTCTGGCGGGTGTTTAGATAATCTTAGCTCCTGGTTGGGTGCCCCAACTACACAGGGCGAAGAACTCTCCTTGCATGCAGTCCAGACTCTTGCTATAACGTGTCTTTGTGGTCATCATGAGAGAGCAGGGAGCCTGGATACACCAGGAAGGAGGGTGGGTGCGGGGCTTGCTGTGTACTACTTGCTGTACCCGAGACACAGCTCCAAGGGGACTTTCTCAGCCACAAGCACAGTTACAGCTTTCAAAATATAGCAGTTCCACTTCCAGGAACTTACTTTATGGAGCTTACGCTTGCACCTGTGGGCAGAAATTCACATAATATGAGCATGCATGGTATCATTGCCTAAAATAGCAGCAACAGGATATAACCTAAATGTCTATCAGTAGGGGAGCAGTTTAGTAGAATACAACACCCTCATGCAATGGGATTCTGCACTCCAAGGAATGGGCGACTCTATGCTGATATGGGATGGTTGCCAAGATGCATTGCTAAGTGAGAAAGCAGTGGTAATACACTGTGATACCATTTGGGTTTTAAAAAGAAAGATTTACTTGTACGTGATGGAAATTTTCTGGAAAGACACTAAAGAAACTATTAACAGTGGGATGCCTCTGAAAAAAGACACCAGGGACTGGAGAGAGGAAAGGAAACTTACTTTTCATTGGATATCCTTTTGTGTTCTTTGAGGAAAAAAAATTTCTACTATGTGCATGAATTATCTTCTTTATTAAAAAGAAAGTGGTGGGGTTTAAAAAATACCCAAATATCCAGTCTTTCTTTTTTTAGTACTGGGGAATCAAACTTGGGACCATGCACTTACGAGGCAGTAGGCAGTGGCACCGCTGAGCTGAATCCCCAGCCCACCAAATCCCCAATCTTTACTGGGCTTTTCAGTCTTCTTTTCTTTCCCTGTCTCCAGCTGGGTCCTGCACCTGGACTCACAGGTCACTCCTCAGCTGCTCTCCCTCCACCCCAGCCCATGGCCCCTCCCCAAGGCATCCATCATCACTCTTACAGATACTCACAACCTACCTTTCTGCCTTGAAACACAAACAACTCTAATCTGAGGAGAAGGCTGAGCTTCATTGCACTTATAGAACAGACAGCAATTGCTGGCACTGAGATGCTCGATAAATGTTTACTGAATCGAATTGAATCTGTGACTTGGTTGGTTACTCTGAGCAAGGTACTAATTGGCCAAGGTCAGGCATCCAAATCCCTTGCAGCTTGGCTCCCTCTGAGTCTAGAGAGGGGCTTTTCCCCTGCATGCAGTGCAGACAGGGCCTCCCATGTGGCTGCATGGCTCGTGGGGGGAGCCCTACCCAGCAGGGCACACACCATCTCCTCTCCTGGAGACCCAACTCACAGGGATGTTAGCAAGCAGCAGCACAGCACAGCAGTGTGACAGACAGAAAGGCTCAGCACTGGAAAGAGCCTGACTCAGAAGAGCACCTGGAGTGGGCTCCAAAACTTTTGTCTTTCGTTTTACATTAGCCTGTTGGTTTTTATTATAAGCACTTTCAAATGCACATATAAAAGGTAGAATTCTCCACCAAGTGTGGTAGTAGCTTGCCTGTTGTATGTGTTTACCATAGGTGGAAAATACCATTTAGTAGGCTTTTGTTTTTGTTTTCTTTTGCTTTTTGTTTTTTGCTGGGGATGAAACCCAGGACCTTGTGCATGCTAAGCACTGTACCAGTGAGCTCTTATTTTGTTGTTTTATGTCCTGGAGGAAGGAGAGAGTGTGTGTCTCTCACCCATGACCATCTTCTTCTTGAAATGAATTCCCCTGGGGCTCTCTGGCCTCCGTGTGCCAGGCCCCGGCAGCACCTTTCTTGAGGCTGTGATCCAGCCACTGGCATGGGCTCCCAGACTCTTCCAGCTCACTCGCAGGAGAGACTTCTTGTCCCAGTAAGGGTTATTATGATGAGGAAGCATTTGCCTGCAAGCACAGTGAGTCAGAAAGTTTGATGTGCCTTCCAAAAAAAAAAAGCCTCTATAATTTTTGACCACATTAATAGAAGTGTCCAAATCTAGGACGGTGAAGAATCCGGTCCTCTGTATGCTGAGCACCCACTGAATCATCCTCTCCCTCGTCATCATCCACCAATGGAGTCCATCTCCTGCCCATTGCTGAACCCATCTCCTTCTCTTCATTTCCTCTGCTGTCACCAGCTGGAACCAGCGTCCCTCGTCTCTTGGTTGGAACATCGCAGTTGCCTCCTAATTGGCGTTCTAGATTCTTCTCTTGCCTCTGGTGTCCTCACTGCAG